AGCGGGACACGAGGACGATGTACGCGATGAAGTACATGAACAAGCAGAAGTGCATCGAGAGGGACGAGGTGCGGAACGTCTTCCGGGAGCTTCAGATCATGCAGGGCCTGGACCATCCCTTCTTGGTCAATCTGTGGTGAGCAGTGTGACCCTGGGGGGGCGTGGTGCCAGAGAGCTCCGTCCGATGGAGTAACGGGCACACGTGGCTTCGAGGGACGTGATTGTTAAATTACAATGAGGCAGGGTGGGCGTGCTCTGAGCTCAGAGGACCTTAATATATCGAGTCGGGTGTCTGATGTCATCTTTACAGCATATCTTTTCTGTGCCTCTTAAATGAACTTTGTGTTTCAATGGTTACCCTCAACTTCATCCATTCATTCATCCATTCAAGCAAACAGGCATTAAACCTGCCCTTGGACCTGGGCCAGGGGGACCATCCCTGCAGATTGACAGAGAGATGGGTCCTTGGCCTCAAGGACCTTGAAGTCTTGTGTAGAGAAAGTGCTTCTCACTTGACTCCCACTGGTGACACCTGCTGGGGAACAGCCGTGGCCGTGGGCCGTGGTGTCAGCCCTGACCCATAGCAACACTACAGACAACAGAAGGAAACACCACCGGGCCCTGCGCCAGCCTCACAAACATTGTGCTGTTGCAGCCCATGGTTGCAGCCACCATGTCCATCCACCTCCTCAAGGTGTGCCTTTGCTTCACGGACCCTCACGAAGCACGGTGTTTTCTTCTGGGGTCTGGTCCCTCCAGAAGACACATCCAAAATGCCTAAGATGAAGTCTGACCATTCTCACATCTAAGGAGTGTTCTGGCTATAATTCTATAATGTTTTAGAGCTGCGTGAGGCTGATGGGAACATTGTGCACAAAGCGCACAGTGTAGGCTTCCCAGACAGCCCTTCTCCCATCTCCTACTGCGAGCCTCCTGTGTTCCTGTGCTGCACGTGTGCCCATTGCTGGCGCAAGGTGTATACATTGTTACTCACTCAAGTCTCTCGTTTACACCAGCGTTCAACTCTCGCCTGTACAGACTTGTGGTTATCGCAGGTTATCAATGCCCACTCCTGAGCAACTTC